ACACTTGTACTTACAAAAAGGCAGAAGTGTCATTTGTATGTCAAATCATGAAGATTCCTATTTTTATTATGCAGGTTCATACTGAAGCAGCCCGAACTCAGCCCTGGTAGAAGTCTGACGTCCTGATTGATCCTGCCCCTCCAGTGGGATGCCAGATATTTTATGCATGGGGCTGGGCTGGCAGCAATTAATTTACTAATCTTAAAATGATCTTAAACAGTAATGAGCCATTAAAGTCAATGGGAAAGAGCCACAGAAGACAAAATAATTTGAGCCCCTGATTGGGTCCTCCGAGGCTGAAATCCCATAAGCAGCCCCGTGGAGCCAGTCGTCTCCTCCGCAGCGATGCTCGCCCCAAGGTGGTGGCAGCCAGCAAGGCCCTCCAGCATGGCCGCCTCCTCCCAGAGCTGCAGTTGGATGCTACTGTGAAAAATCACCTCCACAGCAACACCTTGGCCTCTTGGCAGTGCTCAGGGCCGTCCTCCTCAGCAGAAGCAAACCCTAGGAGGCAGCTCAGGATGGGGTGCATGTGCCAGCTAAGGCTGCTGGTCCACCTTGCAGCCAAACCAAGCTAGAAGCTCATGGGGGCCAAAATGAAGTGGTCTCAATGCCCCTTCTTCCTCCTCCCACAGTCCCGCTCCATCTCTCACTCTCCTCATCCCCTAGCCATGCCCCATTCTTCGCACCCCTCCTGGGCCTCAGCCAGTTGCCCCACCACCTGCTTTGACTCCCAAACCTGACCACCCTTCTTTTGCCCAGCTCTGGTCTGGTGATTGCAGTGAAGGCCATTTGCTCAGGGAGGGATCAGGCAGCCAGAGCCAGCCCAGCACAGCAGGAGCCGGACCCCCCAACGCTGATTCAGTTCATGCCAGAGGGTGGACCTCAGCCCCTGAGGCAAAGCCCCCTGGTACCCCGTGGCAGCTTCACCACTGGAGAAGGAAAATCCAGCACATCTGTGCCCGGCTGACATTAACCCATACTTGGCACCTCTGGCTGTGTTTCCTTTCCCCTGCCTTGCTTCTCCCTCCAGCCGGGAGGAACAGAAGTGTGGGGATGCTACCCCCAGGCCAGGGGATGGCACGGTGCCAGCTAGCGCAGCCCTCCTCACCGGAGCTGCTGCGTGGCCTCAGCCCGAGATGGGGGGATTTTGCCAGGGAAGCCTTTGGCGGGTCCTTCACCAGCCTGATCCTCTCCACCCAGGCTGTGGAGAGCCCAATTAATGCACCTACCCCATAGAAGCAGGGGCGCTGCTGGGCTGAGGGGAACAATCGAGCACTGAAGGGCCTTGCTGAATGGGCTTAAGTCACCGCTTACGCCTTAAAGCTGAGCGCATGCTTTACTGAATGGGGACAGGGAAGCTGGAGCAGTTTAGGGGCCTGCTGACCTGTCACCCAACATCAGCATCTTCAAAAGAGTCAGCTTTTGGCACAAACAACCCTTTCTTTCAGGGGAAAGAAAAAAAAAAAAAAAAAAAAAATGTCAGCCTCGCCCCCCTCCCTCCCCTCCGTGGGGCAGGGGAGACCTGCCTGGGGATGAATAGGGGAGGGAAACTGGGGCGGCTTGTGGGCCAGTTCTTTCTGGTATGGAAAAACATCCTCCTGCAAACTTCCTGCGCCTGCGGGAGAAGGGCATTGCTCCAGCATCGCGTAGCCCCAGCAACCAAGTGAGCGGCTGTGACTGTTTTTAAGCCCTCAGAGGGGGCTGCAAATGTGAGTGCTGCAACCCACCCCGAGCGGCTTTGTCCCCAGCAAAGTACACGCAAACTGCCCAGCATTTATGCAGGACCCGTATTGGCGTTCTCCACATTTAAAGATGTCCCGCTCCCTCGTGGTAGACGCTTTATTGAGGGCAGGTTTAAATTTGTGGACCAACTTCCTCTTCTCATATTTACAAAACTCTATTTCAAATTAGTTTTGAACCCCAAGGACAGGCTGGCGGGGGGAAGAAGGCGGAAGGGGAGGGAGACGGACGAATCGCCTTGGTGAGGGCTTTACTTGCTCCGAGGTAAAGTTATTCACTTGGTAGGGAAAAAAAATCAGTAAAATTACTTCCATAGGACAAGTGCTACAAACTTCACTATGTACTGTACATTTACAGTGGTAGGGGAACATCTCAGATACAGAAGAGCTTGGGAAAACAGGTCTTCAGCTGGAAGCCAATGCGTCCCCAGCCATAAGAGCATCCTGCCACAAAATACACTTCAGACTCCTTAATGCCCCTCCTACACAAATACACTAAGCCTTTTTGTCCCCATTACTGACAACTTATAACAGGGAAAACAGAAGTGATGAAGAAAATATGAGTTGCTCATGTTTTTCATGGAAGAAGGCAGGCCTGCAGCAGTGCGTTGCAGGGCGTCCGGCTCTCAGCACAGCCAGAGCTTCGGCTTCCTCGGCACCACAGGAGCACAGCCTTGCCCGAAGACGGTGTACGGTGGGGCTGTGCATTTTAGAGCCAGGCTGAAAAATGCAAATTGTGACAGACGCCAAATGTGAAACTCTGAGCTGTCATCAAATACAGAAGCAGAGGCCGAGCAGCAAATCTCAGCTTTTCATTTTGGCAGCAGATCAAATCTATAAAACCCATTACCTGTGTTTCAAGAGCAACACAGGGTACTGATTACCCGTTCCCTTGGCAAAGCAACCGGAGTCCTGTCACCCCACCCCCCTTGCTCTGGAAGTGCTCTCCAAATAAAGCTGAAGATGCCACCGGGGTTTTTAAGATGTGCTGCCTCGGCATATGCCAACAGGTCTGTGGGTGAGGGCGCACCGACCGCCCCAGCACCACCCATAGGTTCCTCTGGAGCTTCTGCTGGAGGCACCAGGCAGGGCAGCCCTCCCCAGGCGGAGGGTCGCAGTAACCGGGCGGGTGGCACTGACGGATGGACAGATGGATGGAGGATGAGCTGGGACTCCAGCACCTGTACAGGCTGTGTGGACACAGGCAGCTCCTCCACAGCTGGAAGGCTACAGGGCTTTCCCTCCTCATGTCTTCGTCTCCGTCTGCGTTGCCAATCTGCAACGGCTCAGTCCCAAACGTCCAGGTTTAGACTTTCATGGGCTTTCCATCAGATTGTCAAGACCTCACGTGTTCACATGAAAAAGAGGTAAGTGCCTGCCTTTCCACGAACGCAGCGATAGGCGGCTATTACCCACCCCCCGACCCTAAATTTCCCTCCTTCCGACCCTCACCACAGTCAGGGAGAACTGCTGAACGCCCAAAGCACGCGCAGTGCTGCGGAGGGGGTGATTAAACGCTGCAGATCATCTCGGTCACAAGAAATAAAATTGCATAGCAGAGGGTATGCGTTCATCACATGGTGAAACCAGCTGTGGAAGGGTTTTCTAGGAGTTTTGAAACAATTCCAGCTCGTTCTCTTTTTTTCCAGGGCAGTAGTGGTTTTTTTCCGTCACAAGCAAGTTAGTTGTTAAAAGATGCATAAAGACATGTCACTCCAACCTGTGCACTTGTGTTTCATGTGCACTTCCGCCCCTCAAAAGGGTTTTGTCATGACTAAAGAACGAAAAGGAAGCAGCTAGAAATCTGTAATGGTTCCATTTATTAATACGTATATCACAAATACTCACAATATCAATGCATTCTCGTTGGCATGCTAGACAGAGGCATTATTAAAAAAGTCCTATTTTTTTTAAAAAGGTTTTAAACTTTTGCTTTCCCCCAAAAATATTTCTTATGCCTGTTTTTTTTTTTTGTGATTTTTTTTTTGTGTGTGTGTGTGTGTTTATTTCAATTTGCTTCAACAGCGTATTTGGTGGCTGCAACCTCAATGCAAAAAGAAAGAAAAAGAAAGAACAGGAAAAAAGTATGAAGGCCGCAGTACAGCACAGTTCAATTAGTTCATAACTACCTAATAAAAATAAAGGAAGCAAAATTCCTGCCTTCACAGTAAGCAACAACACAGCTTAATAACAGTATTACACAGGATCAGGTTCAGAGGCAAAATGCACTAGACAAAGCCTACCGGGATACGCACTAGGCATACAACACTGAGTAAGAATCAAAGATGTAGAAGAACATCAGGAATAACGGTTCCCTTCAAGCACGACATTTTTAACATCATTTTCAAGTATCTTCATGTTATGTTACTGATTCCTTTGTTTTTGGGGAAGGGGGGGGGCAGGCGCGGGGAAGGGGGAAAGGATGAAAACCTTAGTAAAAGCAATAAACGAACCAAGAAATTAAGATAAAACCGAAAGAATATATATTTCATATACCGGTTTATATGAATGTGTGCAACACTTATTAATCATGGTGAAAGGCTAATTATGCCCTCCAGTCACTACATGCACAGCCCGATCAATGCTGTTAATGAATTACCTTTGTTAACTTACGATGCAACTACTGTGTGACCAAGAACATACAGGCGGTGCCGTCCTACGCCGAGCTGCGGGGATGGGGTCGGGGTCCGGAGGCCGAGGGGACCCGGCCGCTCTCGGTGGCACCGCGGTACTTCACAGAATGGTACACTACGCATGGGACAGAGTTCGGGAGGTGGGGTGCGGGTGTGCGCGCGCACGTGCTTGCTTGTGGGGGTGCGGGTGTGCGTGCGTGCGAGAGACAGTGTGTGCTATAACATTCGCTTCAGTCTTTCTCCGATTCCGCAGCTCCTGATCTTGAGACAGCCTCTGGACTTCCCACTCCTGAAAGACTGGGTCGGGGAGGATAAAAGAACAGAAGTGGGTTGCTTTGGTTGCTGACAGCGTTCATGGTGGATATTTTGCCCTCCCTTTTCAAGAAGAGAGCCGAAATGACAACACATTCAATAATATGCTCCCCTCCCCCTTTTATTTTTTTCTCAACCAGACAGAACACTGGGATGAAAATCCCAAAGCAAAACATCCCGTGGGAAGACTTAATTCTCGGTGAACATGCTGAGCATCTAAAACTTGCCCGCTATCTTCAGCAGAAGCAGCGCAGCCACGACAACGTGCCGCGGCGCCTGTAGCACACTGCGCAGAAAGCGGGGAAAGCTCACCTTGTTACACCATCTCGTACTGGTTAGCAGTAATAAACCGGGACAGACAGCATGCCAGCAGCATCCCGATCAACTGTTGCGGGCAAGAATAGAAGTAGAGTAGAAGTTAAGTTAAATTAAATGAACGCAGAGCAAAGGAGAGGCCATGGTAAGCAAACATTTCATGTTCTGCAGTTGTTATGCGCAACATAGTTATGCCCTGTTTGAAGGACCACTCTAATCAGAAAAAACAGCATTAAAATCTCCTGTCTGTCTTCGTTGGATCTTCCTCTCGGTTGGTACCAGAGTCTATCTGACCGACAGCACGCCTTTTTACTACTTTTCAAACCCGTTGTCGTTGCCTGGTGGAATCGGACACGGATGGGCAAACTGGCGGGGGTATCCACACGCTACCCGATGCGGTTCACTCGCAAGCTCCACCTGGATCCCTCACCACCACCCACCACCACCGAGAGCTGGCGGCCCCCTTAACTTTGTTAACAGTGTCCTGGGAAAAAGCTTCCTAATGCCCCAGAGTGGTTATGCTTTCTTTACAAATGATGCAGTGCCGGAGAAATGAGCATTATAAATCGGGAAATAAATAAAAAAACCCCCTCTTTCACTATTTCCCTTGGCTGTCACTCAGATTATTGAAAACAGATCCCTGGCTTCCACTCGTCAATAAGCACTCAGTCATTTCAACGTGTTGCCTACTGCAGTTTGTTAGCGTTTCCTGCACGTGCCAACAGCATTAATATACCATAAATAATTCAACCTCGCATTTCTCATTTGGATTGGTCAATTAATTAACTCATGAGCACACCCAGATTGCTACAGCTCATGCCCGGCTACGGGGGTGAGGCGAGAGGGCCATCTCTGCAGACGGACCAGCCTCCCCTGGACCTGACTCCAAGCAAGGGGTGTCACAGCCGCTCCAGCTGGCTCGCCTGTGCCCGCAGGGCACCACCTTGGCCCGCCTCATGCTTAAGGAGGGGGACCACAACCTTTTTGGGAGCAGCGGAGCTCCCTCAGACTCTGCAGAGCATGTGTAGATAACGCCTGGCTGGCTGCGCATCCAAACTGGCTCCTTCTTCTACTTCACACTTGGGATTGCGTGTCCTTTCCCCAGACTGTCAGTGCTCCCTGTTTATGCCATCATCGTCAAAAGCTACATCTTCTCTACCAGCCAATTGCTTGATTTGGGCTGGCATCAGCCCAGAGCAAGACCAATCCAGGGTACCTCAAATCTGGATAAACTATTTTCTGCCCCTAAGACGTCATGTTTCTGGTCAAGACACACTTCATTTGCCAGAAATGTGCTGCTACCCCTCCCTCTCCTGTTTCAGTGTCCACCAGGACTGCTCTGGCAATCTCAAAAGGGTTTGGAGTCACCTTTAAAAGCAGCATGAATCCCCACCGTTCCCCACATGCAACCCCTGATTTTGGCACCAAATACCAAGGATGACACTGCCTTGGTTATAACTAGACATGGGGCACAGGTGATAACACCTCTTGACCAACCTTCTAGGTTTTGGGGGCTGTATTTTCACAGTTGCCAAAAGAGAAGCAGGTGCTGAAAACCCTCCTCAGCTTTTGAAAATCTCACTTGATACCAAGAAGACATTTTAATGAACTGGTTGCCTTTTCTACTAAACTTCTCTAGATGGATGTTCCAGCAGGAAACTTATTTGGTAGCTCATGCACTTGCTCATGAGTCCACAGACCGGTGACAACGAGGATGCCAACGTATTCTGGCTGGGCTATGGATTTCCACGCTTAAATATTCCAGTCACCAGGAGGATGATTTGATCAATTTGGCTGTTTGGGAAGTGCTGCTGAAAACCCACCACATTCTGCAGGTTTACTAGAGAGTCTTTAACGCTCCCACTGCTTACTCATGCGATGTTTCTTTAGCTCAGTTCAGTTTTGGAGAATGAGATTTCCCATAGCGCATCCCTGGTATGTATTTCTCTGACAGGCAGAACAGAGTAAGCGCCTCTGGGTGGCCCTGCCCCACCCGCTTCACTATCCCTTTTCTGTGTTTGCGGTGCCTTTCAGCCTTCTCTCGCCTTCCTCAGCTGGTCTCAGAGGTTACTTCTCCGCCTTACTGCATTTTGCATTAAGGTGAACTTTGCAGCACATTTCATCCTATTTATGTTCCCATCCCAGATCCAAATCAGTTGCTCCCTCATTCTACAATGGCCAACAACGTACATACATTCACGTTTACTTTTTTTTTCTTAATGCCTGTGCCATGAGGTTCCTATTATTTCCCATCATGAGCACTCAGATTACAGCTGCCATTGTTCCTGGCTGCAACCTGCTGCTCCTATCAGGTTTACAAGGGGAAAGATGCGGCAGCCTGTACAAATAGGGAACCATGAGCTTTTCTTTGCCCCTTCAGCCGTAGCAGACCTCCCCAGCTACCTTTAATTAGGCATTCTTCTGTTTTACACAGGCTGTTACTCTAATAATCAGCGTTTCTAAGCTTTGCAGGGCTTGCAAGCATGTGACAATGTTTTGATTTACCTAAGTCACTGGTAAGACGAATGGCAGGTTACGCATGAATGTATCTTTCTGATCTTTGGCCCACTAGTTAATTCTTGGCTCTGACCATATACTGGTTTATGCATTTAAGTGGTTATAGTACCATAATCTTAAACTTCTGTATTTCAAAAATAATGGCATGCATATGGAGCCATTGCATACCCATTTTATACAGCATTTCTAGCTATTACCAGGACATAACAGAGCCGTAATAAATATCTTAGAAGTACTTTGACCACATATAAAACCATGTATTTTCCAAGGTGTGTAGACTTCCACATTTAACCACAAGAGTACTGTCCCTCTGTAGCCGAGAAGAGGTGATACTGTGTTAAGCTGCTGAATTTTCCTCACGCTGCTCTTTCATTACAGTCATAACTACACTCCTCTGCATTTAAATCAGGTTAGAGGCTCCCGGTCTGCGAACCACAAATGAGGGCTCTCCACACCCCCTCCTTGCTCTCTGCATTTGCTTGATCACTTGCCACCTCGGCTCTTCACCCCGAAGGAAGCCCCTGATCCTATTGTGCAGCAGGCCCCTGCAGCTCCTTTGAAAAACCAGAGGAATCGGCATAAAAGGATCCCCGCAAAGACACGAGCTGCTAGAAGTTGCATTAATTTCTCTTCGCTCCCATTGTCTCTCAAGTGCCCCATCTCAACTTTTATCCACATAGTAATTTATTTTTTTTAATCGTCCCAGTTTTTTGAGAGCTGATTCTGCATTTGTATTCTTTCTCACTTTCCCCCTTTCTTCTCTTTTTTTCCTAAGATTATCTTGGTCCTCTGAACTATTACACGGAAAACTGGGAGTTTGTCTTGGTGCCTCTGGTCTTGCCGCAGGAAACTCGAAAATGCTGACAAATTATGTGGCGTAGAGCACTGGGAAACCCATATCCTTCAGGTGTGTCTTCTTTATTACCATCCCATTGGCCAAAGCTCATTCCAGAGAGCAGAATGCAGTGCATGTGTTTCCATCTCTCCATGGTTTCTAGCAACCATCTCATGCATATCTCAGGTCTGACCACTGAAATCCATCCACAGCAACTTCCTAGCAATCTTTTCTCCCATCACAAACATAACTGGCTTTTTAATATTGTTATTTTGCAGGAGTTAACCTTGACTGGAAGCTGTCCTGCATCACATATTTATTACATCTTATTATACTGAAGAGAAACTGAACTGCAATTTGAATTTCCATATTGTTTTGGGTCTTGGTACCTTCACCATTCCTCATTCTTTGAGAGAATTTCTATAAACAGAAATGTGTTGAACTAACTGGGAATTCATCAGTGGATCAGGTAAGCTAAAATTGGAATTTTTTTATCCATCAGGAATAAATGTTTAGTTGAACGATTTACCTTGCCATATTCTCAATATGCAGATCTTCAAGCATCCAGGTTCCCTGCCTCTGTTTCAGAAGACAGCAAATATTCCATGTCACAAATCTCTTAACCTGAGTCAGCCTCCTGTGCCGTGGCATGCCTCCGGCACAGGTCCTGTCTCCATGCCGAATTCACAGTGATCGATATTTAGAAGCAACAAAATCAGTCTTATATTAGATTTCAAGTCACATATTGGATCCTGATATGGATCCCACTCCCTAACCCTGGCTCAACGGGTGAATGAGGTGTAATCCTGTGCTAGGGCCAGGTCTCAGCCTCCCTATACTCCAACAGGAGTTGCAGCAGACGAGGTAGAGGATGTCTGCACCATTAATGTTAACAGTAAAGAGGGAGGGTGGATGCTGCACTGTAGAGAGGGACGGTAGCTGCATGAGAACATATCTTCACATGATGGGACCCGTGCCTGCTCAAGAACTGGTTTTGAGCATGTGGAGAGCACCTGGCTTCCAGTCCTTCAGTACAAAAGGAATACTTTGGCCCTAGCACTGCACTGAGACTCCCCTGCTCAGGGACTCTAATGCAACCACAATCTATTAACACCCCCCCACACTCCCCCAAACCCTGCCTCTTGTGCCCCTTAAGCCAACGCCTGTGCTGTAGTTTTATCTAGGCAAAACTATCATCTATGCCACTTGCATAATTTTATTCTCTGTTGGGCACAACACAGCGATCATTTTTCTGCTCTGAAGAGCACCTGCTAAACTGAAATTATTCCAGCTGGAAGTCAGCATTGGCATCTGATTCCAGAAACAATCAAATTGCATTTTATTATTATTATTTCGAACCCGAGAAGCGGTGCAGTCAATGTCAGCAACACAGCAGTTTTTTTTTAAAACTCTGACTCTGATTGGGAGGTCTGTGCCAGGCCTGTAAGATGCGCCATGCCATTACATCAACTTTCCCTATTTCTGGGAATCAGCACATTCTCCTTGCTAGTCAACACCTAACAAATCATGTGAAAGGAAGGCCCTTGAGTGTGCTTTACTGTAGAAGAGCAACATGATCTAATTTGTCTTTTATGTAGGATAAACCTATTCTCAGTGGGAACAGCGGAGCCTCGCCTACAGCTGGAGCGCTGCCTGGCATTACTGCCAGCCACGGTTAACCTGAAATCAATTTGTAAACACCCTCCCTAATTGGGTCCAGCAAAAACAGATTAGGCAGTAAACGATAACCGCCCGCCTTCTATCCTTCACACCCCAGGGGAGATGCATTTTTCTCCTCGGCATCCCCTCTCTTCTCCTTTCTACGCATTTGCCAACACCTCGAGCAGCTGAGCATCGACTCGGCGTGCCAGAGCCTTGCGCTCCGGCAGGGGAGCGACATCCCCAGCTGGTGGCGGGGCGCACGCCATCAGGCAGCGTGAGCTGCCATTGTGCCAAAGGGCCCCCGCTGCAGGGACCACGCGATGCCCGCCCGCCTTCCCGTGTCAGGCTCACAAACGACTGGCGACCTAGGGTAAGCATCCCGGCACGTGCCAAAATACTAACACTTCCAGCTGCGCTTTTCCTGCAGTCTCCCTCCCAGCTGCAAGCAACTTTCGGTCAAGGTAACATCGCGCTGTGCCTATCCCACGCACAATACACCCATTAAAGGCTTTCAGGTAGCCTTGGTCCTGACTGAGGTATTTGCTCCAGCAGCATATGAATCGTAACATTCTACTCATCCCATTCTTTTTTTGCATAGTTCTACGTGAAGCGTTTTAAAAGATGCTTTGTAGCCTTCCGGCTGTCTAGAAACCAAAATGAAATTAGAGATCAGAGTCCTCTAGCAGGAATCCAGTCATAACCAAGGTTGGAGAACAGTATCAAGACAACTGTGACCATTCAACAAGAACTAGAATAGCCTATTAAAAAAAAAACCCAAACAAACCCTTTCCACGCTCCACACACCAACAGCTCCAGACTGGTGGTTTTACCACTTCTGGATGCCAAAGGCCTGACACCCACGCATTGCTCTGGGGTGGCTGGCGGTATGGCGAACCAATGTTTACGCCCACATGAACCAGGCTGACAAGCCAAATTGTGGGCTTCTCACATCTAACACCTAAGCTAGAAAGCGTCAGGTTTCCAGATATACCCAAGGCAGGGCAGTCGGGTAGTCTGAGCCCAAACACTTTTAGGGCTCCCTCAGGTTGTGCATACACTGACCGAGAGGATGTGGTGGCCATTTTCCACACGGCTCGGGGGCAGTTACTCTGAAGAACCTGGAGGCCATTGCAACCGCTGAGCAAATTAAACCTCAGAGAGACGTGACTAAAACACCATGCAGCTGAGCATGGGCTGACCACGAGGGGCAGGAGGGGCAAGAGGGCAGCCACAGCCTTCACTTGCCCATCGCTAGCAACAGCACTGGCAAATCACTTGTTTCCAGTGCAGCACAGTTTTAACCTACAGCTTGCTAACAGAATTAATGAGTTTTAAGAAGAAGTCAAATAATTTTTCCTAGCACCTCATTTTTTCTAACCACCAGATAAACATAAGTCATTCAACAGATATATTCATATTTTCAGTGTTCCCTCAGGACCCAGATTTTTAATATTGTGTGAATGAAGCAAACTAAAGTTGCATGATCATTTTAGAACACGACATTTGCAGTTGTATGATGTACTCTTGGCCTCCTAGGTAGAAGTGGTTCAGGCATCATACACGTTGCTGTGCATTTTTGCTGAACCATTCTGCAAGCACTTTTACATTGCCCACGTTTCCCTCTCTCTCTTTTTTGCATGTTCCCAGATGAATCCTTGCCATCACATGCGAAGCGACTAGTATAAAGGAGCATCTTGTTGAAAGATGCAGGTGTTTTCCTGCCTCTTCTTGATCAGAAGATTCTGACCAGACCCTTAGTTTCACAGAATCACAGAATGGCAGGGGTTGGAAGGGACCTCGGGAGATCATCCAGTCCAACCCCCTTGCTCAGGCAGGCTCACCCAGAGCAGGTTGCACAGGACATCGTCCAGGTGGGCTTTGAATATCTCCAGAGAAGGAGACTCCACAGCCCCCCTGGGCAGCCTGTTCCAGTGCTCTGTCACTCTCAAAGTAAAGAATTTTTTCCTCATATTGAACTGAAACCTCTTATGTTTCAGTTTGTGCCCATTGTCCCTTGTCCTGTTGCTGGGCACCACTGCAAAGAGTCTGACTCCAGCTTCTGTCTAGGTACAGGTAGTTTGAATATCAGGCAGCAGCAAACACCTTCTTAGCTCTCCTCTTGTCCCTCCCATGCCAAACTCCTTTTGGGGCAGGCAAGGACTTGGTTTAATAATCTGATTTTGGCAGATTTCTGCTCAGTGTTCAGTGCTAAAAGGAACAAACAAACAAACAAAAATTGGCCATGAAAACCAGGTGCCCCCTCCAGGCTCCAGGTCCAGGATCGGGAGGCCTGAAGGCACGCTTTTATTTGAATTGTAGACTCCTTTAAGAAAAAATAAGAGTGCTTAGAAGGTAGAAGCCTATTCAAACAACGGATAAGCTATTTGTCTTCTTAGCTGTTTATGCTTCATTTAAGCCAATGTTTTATTGGGTTAACCTCTATTTGACCCAGTGGAGGGACAAGTTGTTTTCCTTGAGCTAGTCATTAGCTCAACCATAACTGATATTCCCAAGGAGAAACTTCATTTAAGTTGAAAAAAAGAAAATCAATGAACAGATGACCTCAGCACTAATGAGCATGCTGGGTTCAGTCCCTTTCCATAATCCCTCCTTCCTTGAAGTCTAGGTAAAGAAAAAGAGGGGAAAAAAAGGGGGGAAGGGAAACGTTTGTGCACTTACCTGTGAGAACGCAATCCCAAAAGCCACTCCAGCTATGATTCCCATATTTGTCTCCATAAAACTGGTCACCAAGTCATAACAGCCCTGGAAAACAAACATAATCATTCCTTGTATCGACCTTCCCTGCCACGAATGCATACATACAAATTTCTCATTTAAAATGGACTTGGGCTAGACAATATTTTTGCTGTAATTTCCAGCAATGTCACCTTTTTATTTAATAGCAATTCTGAGTGAGTGATGGAAAGTGGTGGCAAAACCAGATCTTTTTAGAAACAAATGTATTTCAGTACTTCTAAAAGCTAAGTGTAATGTTGCACTCAATTTTATAGGTCTTATTAAAGAAAGTCCATTCGCGTTGTTTTAAAAAACATTAACATAGCTTTGACCTGAAACCAAACCAGTAACAATATAAGGTAATGTTATAATACAACATGGGTGTCAAAAATGAATAAATGATGCTGATCTCCTAATATACCAGATATTTAATACAAGCATGCTTCAGGCGTCCAGTGAGGCATTCTGCTTGCCTTTGCCTGTCCAAGGACAGCATGCAAGGTACTGAGTAGTACCTAACTTTAAACCATATAACCAAGTTTATCAAGGGTTTTGTATGAAGTTTCTTGGCTCATTGCTCTTGGACATAAAATTCCCTGTCCTGCTCCCCAAACCCAATTTTCTCTCCCTAACTCAGACCCTGACTCCACCAGCTGACTTGCTTCCTCGTGCCTCAATTCATAGCCCACACGGGGGCCGGAAGATTCATACACATTTCTGCCCTTCTCTTGGATAGGGCTTTTTGAGGTATCCCCCTCAGTATGGTAATTTTTGCCAAGTTTCTCCCCACACCTACTTTACCCCTCAAAAAAGTGTTTGAAATTAGCTTTCCCAGTTCATGGTGTCTAAATGAATCTAAACAACTGATGCAAGACTTGAAGAAAAAAAGGATAATGTCTATTTTTACTTTCATTACTAACCTATCTGCCCACACAATCCAAAGCCATCTCTTGGCCCTTTTTGCCACGCTTCCTCAAATGACCAACATCACTCTCAGTGTAAAGCCAGTCTCTGGGTGTTTTATTTAATCTTATAACTTTATACACTTTATCAGAAGTTGGAAAAACCAAAAATCACAGTGAGTTCCCTTTCTCAGTTTGGACTCCTGTCCCATAAAAGAGAATTGCCTCCGCCTTCCCCCTCCATCCATACTGGCCCTCCTTCTGCAAACACTTGAGGAACTCTTTACATGACTTCAGAGCATTGGACACTTGTAAGAAATAACAGCTAGAAGTAAAGGATGATGTCCTTTGTTAGAGGCAGGGCATTCATAAACTAAATTGTACCATTTCTTTAACCTCTTTTATAATATCAGAAGACATTTTATTTAATCCTGACAGTAATGAAGTGGTAAACCTAATAGTAGCTGAGGACCAGCAGAGCTGTAATTCAGTTCTGAAATGTTTAAGTGTACATATTAATCTCTAATTATGTCTTACAGCACTGTAGAGTATGTCACATTTGAGCTTGCTTATTTAACACATCAAGCAACTATAGTTGTGCGTGTCTTACATGTTATGAAATGAGATTAGATTTCTTAAGCAGTGCTTTCATTCTGTCTGGCATGGCTTAATGTTCTCCCAGCTCCTCTGAAATCTGTTCTGTTCAACAGCCTTCAAGAGATGCAACATCTAACAGCAATGGTAATTGGAGGGAGACAGAATATCTCGTTAAAAAACATGAAAGGGAGATAGTTTTGATCACTCTCCTCACTTGAAGACTGTGTTTTCCCAAATCACAATCATCTATTTCCTGAAGTGCATTGCATAAATATGGTTTAATTGCTCAGTCCTTACTGTGCACAAAACGAGAGTGCAAGAAGCACCCAAGAGTCACAGATACAGTACAGAAGTGAAGCACTGTGTGCACACATCTGGGTGCCGATTCAGGGGACAGAAGTGACTGTTTAGCAAGTGTCCGATCATTCTTCAGTCCATGCATCTGTTCCTTTATTAAGATTTCACAGAGAAGTAGTTCTTGAGATTTGTTGGTAATGAGCTCTGAAGATTAAAAGCACTGTATGAACATTAATTAGCTAATCATAATGACAGCTCTTAAAGTTAGGTATTAGCCGCATCTGAGATGAAGAAACAGAGAGACTAAATGATTTACCCAAGGTCACTAAGCAAGTTAGTGGCAGAGTTGGCAAAGAAAATCCAGGCAAGTTGTCTTTTAGTCCTGCGATTGGATCATTAGTTTAATTCTCTTTGGATAGTTCATCATTAGTCCTCATAAATTTCCAGTAGTTTGATTAGCTCATCAAGAACTTGTCTTACTGATAGTTTTGCAGGATCCCCAAAAAGATGTATTCCAAATGTACTTATCTACAGGAACAGTAACAAGGGTCTTCCACAACACAGACAATATGAATTTTCATTTTTCTCCAACGCACACAGAGCAAAGTGCCTATTTCCAAGACGAGCAAGGGGCTTGGGTCAGAGGCAACGACATCTGCTTCCTATCTGAATTGAAAGCACAGGGCCACGCAACATTTCCTCCTGCTTGCTTTTTATTCTCATGCCCCTTTCGGAAGCATCCCACCTTGCTCAAACATTTGGCACAACTCTCAGGTCTCACAACTGCTAAACAGGAATCTTTACAACCTTCGATTACAAATGACTATCTCAGAAAATGGGACATGGTTTTTCAGATGTTGCAGGACATTCAAACTTCCCCTAGATAATTAAATCAAGTAATTAAGTCAACTGCTTCCTGAGGAATCACCATTCCTCTTCTGTCAGGCAAGTTGTGGATTCACAGGAGAGACGCTTAGAAGTAAGCACGGCTTGGTAAGTTACTAGCCCTGGACTAGCACAAGCTCATTCACCCCTCAGCTGCTTCCTACAATTTTGCAGGCAGCCTTTGCCAAGAGGAACTCACGACTAGACAGGGATTTCTCGGTGCAGGCAGAGCGTGCAGAGCAAGCCCGGCACTTTGGGGAAACATCAGAGTGGTGGTGGGAATGCAAATGGCACCCGCTCAGTTATGCAGCCAGGAAAGGTTCCCAGTGTGTGGCCATCCCGAGCTGGCAAGGTGGGACCTGCTGGCAGACTACCAGTCACACCAGAAAGCTTTGCTGCTGGGAAGGTGGGCAGAAGCGGGGGCTCAGGATGGGCTGCCCAGGAGGCACGCTGCTTGCAGGGGATGCTGGCCATACCGCACATCCCCTGGATCCACCCCATCCCACCTTCCCACTTCTACAGAAACGGGAAGTTACTACAAGTTCACAAAGTGCAGCTGAATGGAGTGGCTCAGCCTTCATATTCAGGTGACCCAGCAAGGTTGCTTTGCTGGTGGCGACTGTGAGTTTCATAACAGATGGACGTCACTAACGTTCCACATACGTCTGCAGCAAGTGGCTCTCATTAAACTATTACAGAAAAGAAAGTCTTAGTGGAGAATAACCCTCTAGCATCTTTTTTTTTTTTTTTAATACACTCTAGAAAATGTTGTCCACTTGACTGGTTTTCAAAGAAAGATGTTTCAGGCTGTGGTCAGCCACCACTCCAACCTTCTGATTCACCAGTGACTGAGGTGAAAAAGAGAAGCAGAAGACAGAAAGGCATTTCCATATTTCCCCTGCTATCTACTCAGGACTTCTACTTATTTTTTTAAATTCAACTCTGAAAACAAAAAGAGAAAAGAAAATAATCCTTAAGTCTGACTAAGCTATGCTGCAACTTACTATTTGGCCACAGTATTCCTTTCACCAACAAACTGTCTGTTGCCACTCTTGCAAATCTCAAGCGAGAAAGAAGGAATTCATGATGCACTAGGACTTAAAGCAGTAACTTGAGTTGTATTTCTGCGGTACACTGTCTGCTATATATGCTGCATTTTTTTCTCTTTATTCCTCCCTTTCTTTGTGTTTTCTGTATATTTATTCTCCAGTTATTCCTTTTCTTCCTTGTTTTCCCAACCTGCTTTCCCAACCCTATTCTGTTGTCCCAACCTGCTCCTTCAGGTGACCTCAGGGGAGGGGTCACTTTGGCTGCACTATGCTTGCAGCAGCATCCGCTTGAAGAACTGCTGAAGAGCCACTGTAAATGCGCCAGCCAACCGCAACGCTTGCTGTCCATCACCTGTGTTTTCTCTGTTTGGGATGACACTCAGGCTCCAGCACTGAAATTGCTGTTGGAACGTAAGCAAGAGTAAAACCTGTCCTTCCCTCCACCCAGCTATGTCTGTGTCCTCAGCAAAACCCCACTGCATTCAGTAGAGAAGCGGAGAAGTGCTGACCGACCTAACCCTCAAGGGGAGTCGAGCACACGTGCCGCTCATGGTCCTGCACCCGGCCAGCACTGCCCCTGTCTGCAGTGCCATGCCAAAACCTCTGCTCTGAGGAAGGGGAACAAATCCCCTCCTCGTTGGAAATGTTGCTGCACCTGGTCATTTGAGAAAGGCCAGCTTAAAGAATTTGAAAGCGAGCGGGAGGCAAAGCCCATCCTTACCATCACTCCAGCCCAATACACACGTTATCAACCAAGCATCTGACCTGAAACGCAAGCAGCCACACGCTCCGCTGGGGTACTGGGTGGGTTTGTAACAACTGCCCCCGGCACAACGTTACTGGTACCTTCTGGTTTACTTTAGTGGCAGCCACAGTCATGTTGCGCAGATCCTGAGTATTACAGTCACTGGAGTTCATGCAACAGCTTGTAGGGATGCCGTGTTTGAAGAAGTAAGGGCTGGTGCTCCAGTTGGTGTAGCTCTGAATGCCGCAGCAGCTCAGCTACGAGGAACAAGAGGTGGATTTAAAACAAACAAACCAGAATTACAACTAGGACAGAAGCATCGCTGACTGCTTAATAAGCTCCTAACCAAAATAAAGACAGGTTGTCTCCAGTTTTGAAAAGTAGATACCACCCCCTGCCCCATTTATCACAAAAGTATCAGGAATGTCATTTGCAGAAGATGGGAAAAGATGACCTACTAAAAAAAGGGTATTTTATGGGCAGAGCTATTATTTGTAACATTTGACAGAAGTCCAGCCATAAAGCCAACTTTTTTAGTTGAAGGTCTGTTGGTTTTTTTTTTGTTTGTTTATTTCCTTTGCTTATTTATTTATTTGATTAAAGACAATCCTGGAAATTCAAGGCAGAGCCTCACAATGTGGTCAAAAAAACTGTCCTTAAAAAACCCAAGGCGTTACATAGAATTACATGTAACACATGCAGGGTGAAACTAGTACAAATTGCTGAGGTGAAGCAAGCCTCTCTAACTCACCAAAATAATTTCTAGGAAAACTCACTGAGCCGTGAATAGAAGGAGACCATATGTTCACAGAATGTCTCTATGAAATCAGCTGAAAAATCCTAAGTTGGCAAGGATGTCCTGCTCTAGATACTAAGCTAGAAGTCACTCAAAAATATGGGGTACATGCTGAATTTTCTGCATGAGAAGGACTTATAGATGCAGTTCCTGTAAAAAACATCTGCAAATGAAATGAACATTTTGCTACGACAGAAACACTGAACAATTACTCAAAACTATTTAGTTTAGATAACTCCAAGGAATCAGAAGTTCAAAATACAGGTTAACATTAGGCAAACAGACAGTTTGATGGCAGAATATATGCAGTTTAGAGACGCGCACTGATCTGCTAACCCAGAGAAGCCAGATTAGAGGCTTAGTTTCAAACCCGCTGAGGGGTCCAACATGATAGTTGTAATTTCTGAAGAAGATCTAGAAGTCATCAATACAATGACATTAAAATTTCAGCCATTCAGCAAGTTACAGTCATATGAAAAGCAAACTGGCTCATAGAATGTATCATGAGCTGAAGGGATAGCCTCTTCCTATGGTACAGTTTCCAGTAGGAATTTAAATGTGAATGTTATCGTTCTGTGTTGAAGTTGGTGGATTTGGTCCCTTGTGGTTGGCATCTCCAACTACTGTGGCTGTGCTGTGGCATTTGCTTGTGCCCTGTGCCCTTTGGGGGCAGGCAAGGGAACCTCTCACTGCCCTGCTACTGCGCCCCGTGGGTCAGAAAATCTCCTCCACCGAGCAACTAATCCATCCCTCCAGCATGGCCGGAGAACAGCTTTCGTTGCTGACCTCAACAGCCCATTTGTCCACCTCCTTTTCCTTCCTAAGTTTTTCCCTTAACTCACTAGGGCTCCTTTGCCAGCCTCTTGTGCTTGTGAAGAGAACTGCTGCAGTTTGTCAGTGATACAGGATGCTAGATCATAAAATTCTGTCTCATCCAGCTCAAATCTACGTCTATTGACAGATTCCCTTAAGAACAAGGTGTTCAGTTCATAAAACAGGGTCCTAAATCTCATTCAAGATCTGGGACCAGCAACAAGCAAGTGGGGCATACTTTTTCCTTAGATCAGCTTTGTCAGCCTCTAATTTTGCTTGCAATGTACAGCTTGCAGACTGAGCCATCCACACTTCATGTTCTGTGACCAAACCTATGCTTTGTCTCTCTTTATTTATTAATTTTTAATACCCAATTTTAGACTTACACTTTCCTGTACGTTATCCACTGCATGGCTCCGCTCATCGTTCTTGTTGTAATTCTGGATTGCTTCAGTATATGTCCTAAGGAAAGTATCCTTGATCTATGAGGGCGAGAAAAAAACAGCCCATGTGAGTGATGAAAAGCGTAACATCTGAAGCAGTTTTCTCAGGAAGCAAATGCATTTCCAAACCTAACAAGACACCCAAACTAGCCCTTCCCTCTTGTTTTTAAGTGTGTTTCCAGAGCTGGCAGAGCTTCCTCTTAATTGTCAGGAGTCACTCGTGCCATTTTTCAAGCGGGGTTTATCAGACATAGAAAGAAAACCACCCCAGAAAACTGCTACAGTTTAAAAATCAGAAAACAACTTCACCTATAATAAAGCTATCCTTTGATGCTTTTTCCCCAAACACTTTGTTCCAGCACGAAGTCTGAAGGAGGCTGCGTGCTTCTCCCTGCTCATGGGCACCTGGCGGGAGCTGAAGCTTCTGCCAAACTCCTTGGCGACAGAAGCCAGTGGCAGAAGAAGAAGAAGAAGACCCGAATCCCCTGACCAGGTGGCAGCCCTCGTCCCCAGCACCAAGGGCATTTGGGTAAGGAACAAGAGGTCTCTCAGCTGGAGAAGGGCAGGCACATCACCAGGAAAGGCACTTTGGCTGGGTGGTAGCAGATGATTTGGGCAACCCACGTGGCTGTGACCAGCACAAAAGACTGCCTCTCCTCAAAGGGAGGAGCAACCTGGCACTGAGGCTGCTGCAGGTAGGACAGATGAAATGGCAGTCCTCAGCAGATGGACAGGTATTTCAGAATCAGCTTAAAAACTACCCGCCACTTGCAAGGGTCGACACCAGAAAAGCCTACAGCAAGGGAAATCTCATGTCAAAAGGGGAGACTAGAAAACCAGTTAATACAAAGACAAGAAAAGAGGGTCTCTGGGGCTGTCCCGGTTCAG